TTATATATATATATATATATATATATATATATATATATATATATATATATATATATTATAAAATATAAAGTATTACAGTGTTAAGTTTTTATCATTAAAGTATATACAAGACAAATTTAATCATTATTTAATGATGTGTATATTAAAACATGCTTAATATTATTCTAGCTTCCAAATCAAATGCTAATTAAAAGATAATAAATTATAACTTTATTACAAGTTTTATTTATTTTTACTCTGCGCCTCCAACTTCTGTTTTATTTTCTAAAATTTTTTTTACAGCTGCAAGGCCTTCTTGTTGTCTTTGTTGAGTGCGTTTCGTTTTGAATGTGCGTTTCGTATCCTTCAGTTCCCTTTGTGGACCTCCTAATCGTTTTAACTGTTCCGTGATAGCTGGTATAATCCGTATCTTAAATTATAATACATTTTCATTAGATGATTAAATATAATGCAACAACCATTTAAGAACCATTTTTTGATATTTTTATTACAAACTGAAACAATTTGACAATAATGTAAAGTAATCCCAGAATATTTTTAGATATGCTATATATTAGTCAATTATTTTTAAAAGTTACATGCTAAGTATTTAAAATCCTTAGCAAAGTTTTTCATATAAAAAATGTGACTTTTGCTACAAATGTAAAGGAATGGCAATACTCATGTTATTATCATTCTTATATTACAATGTTGATATACTAAGTGGTCTAGCAGGATAATATCCATGATAGGATTTTCCACCTTTATCAAAACAATGAATAGGTTCTTCTAAAGATTTCTGTACAATTACATAAATTTCTGGTATACACAGCTTTGCGTGTTTCTTTGTTACATGTTCCCACAAAGAGTCAAAATTGATTGTCGAATCTTTCAAACAAAAGTAAGATCCCCGCAATTTCGAATTTAAAATTTTCTCATCTGGATGAGACGATCCATGATGAATCATCCCTTCTGATATTTGTTCCTCGATTACAGCTAATGTATCATAATGTGCAAATGCATTTGGTACATATATATCTTGTACAAGATTATCGCCAATGTATAAGCATCGCTGCTTAGTTTCTTTCGTTATATGAGTGAGAAATTTTAATAGATCAGTCCAATTTCCTTGGCTATACATTCCACCTTGTTTTAAATCTTAACACACAATTTTAGTTTCATCATTGTTCACAACGTCAAAGAACGGTCGATTGTTAATAAAAAAACCCGGCTTTCTAGCATAACACACAACAATATCAAAAAAGGACCTCCAGTTCTCACCAAGAGCATAACTCGCGGTAAAGTTCACAAAATCTGCATTTGATCCCGTAAGAAGAAAAGTTGCGGATATTTTTTTTACTTCTTTCAACCATGACATTGTTTCTGTACTACATTTATGCAAATATTTCTCTGGATTCTTTTTAAGATGACAAAAAATCCTTTTATCGGATTGAAAATGTTCTCTAGAGAACAAATAGGTCAATCCATTTGATATGTCAGGCCAAACGTTATATTTATCTAAAATTGATTTATGCTCTTCATCAAGTGTATCCACAGCTCGTGCAAATACAATACTCGCTGATATGGCAAAATAATCCAGTAGGCTCCTTATTTTCTCAGATAAAGGTCCATTCCAAGTTGCCAGCTTATCGTTACAGAAGATATCAGTAAATTCCCATCTTTGTTCAGGATATATCTTCCTTATTTGATCTGTACTTAACAAATGTGTCCCATGACAAGCTCTGCAAATAACACCATCTGGACTCACCCTGAGTATATTTCCTCTCTCAAAATCCAACAATAATCCCTTTTGCATGAAATCCAAATTGTCATCAGTTAAAGATTGTAACAGATGTTTCCCGCTGTACCCTCGTTCATCCACCAAAAATCTAGCTAACACCTCATATTCCATGTACACCAGATTTGTGATATTGTAACGCAGCAGAGTGTTATCCAGATCAAAGCCAATACAATTATAGTCAGTAAATTTGAACACATTCATGTTGCTCTTAATGGGCCTCTTAAACGCTTTGGAACTGTACTGATAAGACAGTACTTTTTTTCTCTCAATTATTTGTTTAGATACACAAAAATTGATAATACTGTGATAAAGACCCAGACCTCTGATCTAGCCACAATTACTCTCAGTATATTGTTTGCGATACAATAAAAATTGCAACAAACAGATGTATATCATATAATTCAAATAATTATAACATTAATACAATCGGCAGCTGTTAGAAGTACAGACTGGCCAGTTGTTGCAAGTTAATTTTTTCGAGTCAGCATGGGCAACCTTACATACTAAACTAAAATATACCTAAATTTTTGAATACTGTAAAACCTGATATCAGAACGCGTACCTATCAACGGAAGGCGAACGAGAATTTGCTTTCAAGCATTATAACCTAAACGTGGAATATTTCGCTCATGCAAATTGGCTGAGAAAAAATTACCAGATAGTGGGGAAGAGAAATTCGGTTTTCAATGTACTCACATTCGGTGGGATATGAACGCAGCGAATGTTCCTTGCTTGCACGAAAAACATGTCATATTTGAAGGAATCCCCACGTGGGTCTGTAAACACGCAGTCCCTCATTACAACGTTCATGAATCTGTAAAGAAAAAGTGTATTGACAAGATGTCGAATTAATTCGTGATTGAGAACATCTTGAAGTTTTTATTTAAAAAAAGACGTCGTTTATTAATTAATTTTGACATATACACATTATTTACGAGACGCGCATTTTGCTGTTAAAGTTACATGTTATTATTAACAAGATGTAAATTTCTAAATATGATTACTTATTTAACGATCTAAACTTTATGTCGCAGCAGGAATAAATTTCTTACGTACGCATCGGTGTGTTCGACGGTGCCGAAGATCGACGCTTCATTCCGGAGATCTATTGTTGTACGTTGCTGTTCTACAGCTCTCAGCAAAATCGACAAACTGTTGTAGAGGAAGTATTTTTCGCGTTTCGATTCCATAGTCATCGTAGACGTAAACACGAAAAGCTGTCAAAAGCGCGCAAACCACGTAACATTCACCGATGCCGGCGAAGCGAACTACGAGAGCACATGATTGCACGTGCAGAGTTCGCGCGCATATCAACTGATTTGAATGAGCGTTATACACCAGCGTCTACAATGGTAGTAGGAGTAGGGAGTAGGTAAAATCGTAGCAAGAGGCGCAATGTGCCGACAAATACCTCGTTTCTCGACGAGCTCCGAAATCTCTTCCCTGTTGTTAACCATCTTAGCATCTGTCACTATCTCACAATGCACGTTAGTAAAAACAAACGAATCGTCACCGCGCTGCGGCGCCCCGATACGCCGCAACAGTGCTACGTGAGGAGCGCTAATATATTTCCGTTGAATAATCCGGTGGCGGCAGTCAGCGCAAATCGGCGGCAGTCTTCGTGTGTACTTTTGTGAATTTGGTTGCTCTTACTCGCAGTTGGTAAAAATGAGTAGTTCCAATGTAGTGATTGTCTCAGCAGTCAGGACACCCTTAGGTAATAAAGGATAACACACAGAACTTGCCAATAAAATTATGTACAATAGCTTGTATTTTTAAGCTATGAAAGTTTAAACAATTAAAGAATTTATATTTTACAAGTCAGATAATAAGCTAATTTTGAAAAACTTCATAAGCCTTATGCAAATATTTCATGTATTTATCCATGTTATATATTTTAAATATATAATATAGAAATAGGTTTGAATACACTTATATAAAATACTGTATTACAATTGTGAAATGATAGAAATTATCTAAAAAGATATTAATCATAAAAATTAAACTGCATGAAAGAAAAAATAAATATTTTGTTTATATTAAAGTATATTCATATAATAATGTTATATATACAAATAATATTTTTACATATAAAAATACTTATATAAAATAGTTATATAAAATGTTATATAACTTGTAAAATAGTTACATAATTTATAAAATGTTATATAACTTGTAAAATAGTTATATAATTTGTAAAATGGTTATATAACTTGTAAATTAGTTATATAACTTGTAAAATAGTTATGTAACTTGTAAAATAGTTACGTAACTTGTAAAATAGTTACGTAACTTGTAAAAAAGTTATATAACTTGTAAAAAAGTTTTATAACTTGTAAAAAAGTTATATAACTTGTAAAATAGTTATATAACTTGCAAAATAGTTATATAACTTGTACATTTTATATAATTGTTTAGGGTCACTATGTGGATCCTTATCCTCATTGAAAGCGTCAGAGCTGGGAAGTATTGCTATTAAAGAAAGTTTGGCAAGAATTGGATTAAAAGGAACAGATGTTTCCGAAGTTATTATGGGTCAAGTATGTCACCTTACATTTGTATTAAAAATTAATAAAGTATTAGATTATACATATTTCCAAGTAAGACTAAATTTATATACACGTAAAATACACATTTTTATTCATCATGTGTTTTTTTCAGGTTCTTGCTGCAGGAGAAGGTCAGAATCCTGCAAGACAAGCAGCGATAAATGCAAACATACCTATTGATGTGCCTGCTTATCAAGTAAACTTGTTATGTGGCTCTGGTCTAAAGTATGCACAAAAAATATGTTGTATAATGACTTAGTTTACACCAGTGGCGTAGCCGAGGGGGGGGGCTGGTGGGGCTGCGCCCCTCCGAATTCTAATATTTAATATTACATAGCTGATCAC